GAGCCCAGGCTTGAGAGACAGACAGACCTGAACACGAATCCTGCCTTTGGCAGCTGCTGGAAATAGGAACACAGTAAAATAATCCACCTCATCTTTATAAACAGTGAGATCACCAACTAATAAAAATTTTAGAAAAAAATTTTAAATAAGTATTTGAAAAGAAGTAATCTACTGCCTGATACTGAATAACTGGCAGCCAATACTTAACTGGAGTAGCCTAAATTATGGTGTGGTCATCCTACTATAGGAAAACAGGGTGATTCCTTTTATTCTTACTCTATACATCTTTACTAAAACTAGGGTAAAATTTTCTACCCTCAAAAATAATAACCTCTCTTTATCTCATATAACGTATAAAACTTAATTCAATATAGATCACAGACCTAAATGTGAAAGCTAAAATTAAAAAATTTTCAGCAGAAAACAAAATCTTCGTGACATTGGGTTAAGCAAGATTTCTTAACCAAAGTCCATTGAAAAAAATTTGATAAACTAGACTTCTTCAAAATTAAAAACTTCTGCTCTTCAAAAGATACCATTAAGAAAATTAGAAAACAAGCCACAGATTGGGAGAATAATTTGGAAAGTATATATCTGATAAAGGACTTGTAGCCAGAATACATATAAAGAACTCTTAAAGAAGGTGCCTGCCACTGCAGGGGACACGGGTTCGAGCGCTGGTCCAGGAAGATCCCACATGCCACGGAGCAACTAAGCCCATGCACCAAAACTACTGAGCCTGCACTCTAGAGCCCGTGAGCCACAACTACTGAAGCCCGCGCACCTAGAGCTTGTGCTCTGCAACAAGAGAAGCCCGCACACCGCAATGAAGAGTGAGTAGCCCCAGCTCGCCAACTGGAGAAAGCCCACGCACAGCAACGAAGATCCAACACAGCCATAAATAAATAAATTTATAGGGAGAAAAAAAACCCAAATTAAAAAAAAATTTTGAACACTCCTCCCCAAAGAAGACAGAAAAATAAGCACATAAAAAGATGTGCAACATCATTCATCATTAGTGAAATGCACATTAAAACCATAATAAAATACCACTACACATCTGTCAGAATGGCTAAAATTAAAAAGACTGACAATACCAAATGTTGATGAAGATGTGGCAGAATTAAAACTCTCACACACTACTGATGGGAATATAAAATGGTACAAACACTTTGGATGTTCCTTGAAAAGTTAAGCCTACCATATGCAGCCATTCTCCTGTTAGATATTTACACAACAGAAAAGAAAGTGTATCCATACAAAGGATACACAGTGCTTTATTTATAATAGCCAAACCTGAGAACTATCCAAATGTACATCAATAGATGAGTGGATAAACAAATTCTTATATCCATACAATGGAATACCACTTGGCAATAAAAAGAATGAATTCTCAATACCTGCAAAAATGTTGTTTAATCTCAAATTAACTATGCTGAGTGATGGTTTCAAAGGTGTATGTACACAGGGCTTCTCTGGTGGTGCAGTGGTTGAGAGTCCGCCTGCCGATGCAGGGGACACTGGTTCGTGACCCGGTCCGGGAAGATCCCACATGCCGCGGAGCGGCTAGGCCCGTGAGCCACGGCCTCTGAGCCTGCGCGTCCAGAGCCTGTGCTCCGCAACGGGAGAGGCCACAACAGTGAGAGGCCCACGTACCGCAAAAAAAAAAAAAAAAAGGTGTATGTACACAAACACACACCAAATGTCAAAGTGTACACTTTGTGTAGTTTACTGTACATCAATTACACCTCAATAAAGCTGTTTTAAGAAAGAAAATGAATTAATGATACACACATCAACACAGATGAGTCTCAAAAACATGATGCTGAGCCAGACACAAACTCTAAAAAAAAGGCAAATCTAATGTGCTCTGAACAGAAAGCAGATCACTGTTTAACCTGAAATTGCTGATGGGGGTGAAGGGGTGAGGTACAAAAAAGACTGACTGGGTCTGATCACAAAGGAACTTTCTGGTGTGGGTGTATACATTTTATCGAAACCTATCAAAACATACATTAAAAGGGGTACATTTATAGTAGGCAAACTACACTTCAATTAAGTTGATTTTTTTAAAAAGTAGTTCTGCCTTAGATTAGCCTGGTTCAGAGAATACCACATCATAATAAAGATGAGACTAGCAAAACTGGATCACTGGTACAAAAGGCAAAAAGATCTCTCTAAATGGTTATCATCAAAAAATCCACAAACAATAAATACTGGAAAGGGTGTGGAGAGAAGGGAACCCTCCTACTCTGTTGGTGGGGATGTAAATTGGTGCAGCCAGTATGGAGAACAGTACGAAGGTTCCTTAAAAACTAAAACTAGAACCACCATATCATCCTGCAATCCCACTCCTGGGCATGTGTCTGGAGAAAACATGGTCTGAAAGTATACATGCACCCCAATCCTCACTGCAGCACTAGCAGTGATAGCCAAGACATGGAAGCATCCTAAATGTCCATCAACAGAAGAGTGGATAAAGAAGATGTGGTACATATATACAATGGAATATTACTCAGCCATTAAAAAGAATGAAATAATGCCATTTTGCAGCAACATGGATGGACCTAGAAATTGTCATACTGAGTGAAGTCAGACAGAGAAAGACAAATATCATATGATATCGCTTATATGCAGAATCTAAAAAAAAATGATACAAATGAACTTATTTACAAAACAGAAACAGACTTAGAGAAGGAACTTATGGTTACCAGGAGGGAAGAGTTGGGGGGAGGGATAGTTAGGGAGCTTGGGATTGACACTGTACTCACTGCTATATTTAAAATTTGAAAAAGAATAGATACAGGTATATGTATAACTGAATCACTTTGCTGTACAACTGATATAACACAACATTGTTAATCAACTATACTCAAATATAAAATAAGAAGTTAAAAAAAATTAAAAAAAAAAGAAGAAGAAGATCTTTCTAAGAAAATTAGGGCAATAGAGATATGCACATATCTAAAATTTGTTTCTAAATTTTATTTACAGGGCTGGGACACCATATGGCACATAATGATCAAAAGCCCAACGTGTGTAGAAGGCAAAATAACCCCACAACTATCTTGTCTTCCAGCTTTTGTACCTACACTGCTGAAAGTGGTTAACAGAAAGATGAAATAACTCAATCTGACATGGCCATCTATTTACAGACACAAGTTAATTTCATCTCTTATTTCCCACAGGGGCTAGTCTAAGCCTACACTCTTCCCTTCAGGTTATAAACAATTTTTTTCCACCATTCTCACCAAGTCAAGGAAAAACTTCAGTGTTCATCTCCCTCACAATTACATGGTACATTCCCTTTTAATCTTTTTATCTCTTCGAGATTATCCTCTCCTGTCTCTGTGACTGTACTCCAATTATTCCCCCTCCTGTTACGGAAATTTATTTCCCTACACAATTCTTA